ACGGAGGGGGGGTTTGGTATTATAATGACATTATAATGAGCAAAGTTCACACTAAGGACAGCATTTCGTCAAAAACTTGACAGACTGTTGGCCCAGGGTGACGACCGTGTGGTTTATCAGTTCGCCGTACCGCCAAGTTCCCATCGCTGCGGTGATTCACGGAGCCCGGCCGCGGAATCTTCGCTCCGCTCCCCTCTCCGTGCTGCTGCGCCGGCAATATTGTTCGGGCAACCAGCAGGGAGTGGATTCCTGGCATACCAGCTGCAACTGCGCTCCCCCTGAAAGCCCCTTCAATACCAAGCCTTTTCCTTAATGTGGGAACAACGCTGGGCCTGTCATATAAGTTTATTACAAGTCACCCCCAGTAATTATTCCACAGGTGGTTAAGAAAAAAATATTAAGAATCACACAAGCACTGCATCTCCCCCGTTTCCGATTGCTGTTTTGTCTGGTAGCTGTGGGCTCAAGGCAGCAGGACACTGGTTTCTGCAGTTTGGAAGGGTTTTTGTGGCTGGAAAGGGTGGGGTCTTTACTCTCTCAGCAGTTGTTGGGGATGGCAAAGTTCATTCTTCATCACAGAGTCTCTTTCTTATTTTTGGCTCTAAGACTTCCGTTTCTCAAACACAACAACCCCCAAAAATGCAGCAGAGGAACAGCCCACCCACCGAGATACGCGCTGACTGCCAAACCCTTGGGGGACCCTTCCTTGCCTAGCACGCTTCTGACACAAACACCCCTTCTTTCCCTCTTCTCTCTCGGTCCGCTGCACTGCCCCATCGCCAGCGCGCAGGGAAGCGGACGGAACACCGCTACGTCTTCAGCCGTGACTAGAAGAGGGATGACAGCACCCAACTGGGGGAGTGATGCCAGCACCGGGAGCGAGCCCCACAGAAGCTGCGCTCTGCCTCTGCTTCCAGCACATACAGACTGACAGAAAACCTTCTAAGTCCCACCCGACACAGAAGCCAGAAAGGAAAGGGAAGAGCTTTTCTAACTATTATTTCCCTTCCCAGATAAAGACAACAAGCTGTCAGTAGTTGTTTTAGTTCAAAACATTGGAAACCCAAACGGGTTGCTCTGCCCGTGGGTTTAATAAACGTGTGGAACGGGTTTCCATGGCATGGTTGCAAACCCAAGAGCCCACGCTAATGAGATGCTTAGTACTGGGGGAGTAGGGGGGAATAAAAGGGAAAAAGAAGCATCCCAGACCCACCAAAGGTCCTAGCTCACAGCACCACATTTGGCTGGAAAAGCTGCTCAAGCTCCGAGACTCACGTTCAGAAAACGCATCCAGCATTTTGTTCCTCTCAGGTTTTATTGGCAGGGGGCGGGGGCGGGGGCCGGGCCCCCGTAGC